GAGCACACTGGGATGCTGGGATGAGGAGGGATGCTGGGATGAATGGGGATGCTGGGATGGGCAGGGATGCTGGGATGAGGAGGGACCCTGGGATGGGGAGGGATGCTGGGATGGGTAGGGATGTTGGGACGCTGGGATGAGCAGGGATGCTGGGATGAGCAGGGATGCTGAGATGAGGAGGGATGCTGGGATGAGGAGGGATGCAGGGATGGGCAGGGTTGCTCAGACGAGGAGGGATGCAGGGATGCTGGGATGAATAGGGATGCAGGGATGGGCAGGGATGCTGGGATGAGGAGGGATGCCGGGATGCTGGGATAAGCAGGGATGCTTGGATGAGCAGGGATGAAGGGATGAGGAGGGATGCTGGCATGAGCGGGATTCAGGTATGAGCAGGGATGCTGGAGCATGCAGGCATGCTGGGATGAGTAGGGATGGAGGGATGCCTGGAGCACACTGGGATGCTGGGATGAGGAGGGACGCTGGGATGGGGAAGGATTCAGGGATAAGCAGGGATGCTGGAGCACACCGGGATGCTGGGATGGGGAGGAATGCAGGGATAAGGAGGGACACCGGGATGGCAAGGATGCTGGGATGAGAAGGGACACTGGGATGGGGATGGATTCAGGGATAAGCAGGGATGCTGGAGCACACCGGGATGCTGGGATGGGCAGGGATGCAGGGATGGGCTGGGATGCTGGGATGGGCTGGGATGCCTGGAGCACACCGGGATGCTGGGATGGGGAGGGATGCAGGGATGCTGGGATGGGCAGGGATGCCTGGAGCACACCGGGATGCTGGGATGAGGAGGGACACTGGGATGGGGAGGGATTCAGGGATAAGCAGGGATGCTGGAGCACACCGGGATGCTGGGCTGGGCAGGGATTCCCGCACACCCCGCACTCGGGCTCCCTCCCCGCAGTCTCCTCCTCTCTCTCCCTCTCTCCAGCCGCGCTCCAGCAGTGCCCCCTACAGAGCTGGCCCAGGAGGGCACCCAGTCGCCCCCAGCCCAGGGCCCGGCGGGGACCCCCCTTGGGGGTCCCCAGTGCTGCCATGGAGTCCCCAGTGGTGTCCGGCGGTCCCCAATGCTGCTCAGGGGTCCCCAGTGCTACCCGGGGGTCCCCAGTGCTATTCGGGGGTCCCCAATGCTGTCAGGTTGTAGCCAGTATTGTTCGGGGGTCCCCAATGCTGCTGGCGTGCCCCCACTGCTGCCAGGGTGTCCCCAGTACTGTCCAGGTGTCCCCAGTGTTGTTTGGGGGTACCCAATGGTGCTCTAGGGGTCCCCAGTGCTGCCAGGGTGTCCCCAGTGCTGTTGAGTGCGGCGGCCGGACGGGACGGGGATGGGCGCGGGGAGCGGCGGCGGCGGTACCCGGGGGTCCCCGGGGGTCCCCGGTACTGCGCGGGGGTCCCCGGTGCTGTCCGGGGGGGGTCCCTAATGCTGCTCAGGAGTCCCTAGTGCTACACGGGGGATCCCCAGTGCTATTCGGGGGTCCCCAGTGCTGCCCGGGGGTCCCCAGTGCTATTCGGGGGTCCCCGATGATGCTCACGGGTCCCCAGTGCTGTCTGGGGGTCCCCAATGTTTCTTGGGGGTCCCCAGTGCTGCCATGGAGTCCCCAGTGGTGTCCGGCGGTCCCCAATGCTGCTCAGGGGTCCCCAGTGCTACCCGGGGGTCCCCAGTGCTATTCGGGGGTCCCCAATGCTGTCAGGTTGTAGCCAGTATTGTTCGGGGGTCCCCAATGCTGCTGGCGTGCCCCCACTGCTGCCAGGGTGTCCCCAGTACTGTCCAGGTGTCCCCAGTGTTGTTTGGGGGTACCCAATGGTGCTCTAGGGGTCCCCAGTGCTGCCAGGGTGTCCCCAGTGCTGTCCAGTGGTCCCCAATGGTGCTCTGGGGGGCCCCAATACTGCCAGAGTGTCCCCAGAGCTGTCAGGGGGTCCCCAATGGTGGTCAGGGGTCCCCAATGCTGCTGGAGTGTCCCCAATGCTGCCAGGGTGTCCCCAGTGTTGTTTGGGGGTCCCCAATACTGCCAGGGTGTCCCCAGTGTTGTTTGGGGGTCCCCAATACTGCCAGGGTGTCCCCAGTGTTGTTTGGGGGTCCCCAATACTGCCAGGGTGTCCCCAGTGCTGTCCAGTGGTCCCCAATGGTGCTCTGGGGGGCCCCAATACTGCCAGAGTGTCCCCAGAGCTGTCTGGGGGTCCCCAATGGTGGTGAGGGGTCCCCAGTGCTGCCAGAGTTTCCCCAGTGCTGTCCAGGGGTCCCCAATGGTGCTCTGGAGGTCTCCAATACCACCAGGGTGTCCCCAGAGCTGTCTGGGGGTCCCCAATGGTGGTGAGGGGTCCCCAGTGCTGCCAGAGTTTCCCCAGTGCTGTCCAGGGGTCCCCAATGGTGCTCTGGAGGTCTCCAATACCACCAGGGTGTCCCCAGAGCTGTCTGGGGGTCCCCAATGGTGGTGAGGGGTCCCCAGTGCTGCCAGAGTTTCCCCAGTGCTGTCCAGGGGTCCCCAATGGTGCTCTGGAGGTCTCCAATACCACCAGGGTGTCCCCAGAGCTGTCTGGGGGTCCCCAATGGTGATCAGGAATCCCCAATGCTGCTGGCGTTTCCCCAGTGCTGCCAGGGTGTCCCCAGTGTTGCTTGGGGGTCCCCAATGGTGGTGAGGGGTCCCCAGTGCTGCCAGTTTCCCCAGTGCTGTCCAGCGATCCCCAGTGCTCTGGGGGTCCCCAGTACTGCCAGGGTGTCCCCAGTGTTGTTTGGGGCTACCCAATGGTGCTCTGGGGGTCCCCAATACCGCCAGGGTGTCCCCAGAGCTGTCTGGGGGTCCCCAATGGTGGTCAGGAGTCCCCAGTGCTGCTCGGGGGTCCCCAATGGTTGCCGGGGGTCCCCATTTTCACCCCCCGCTGACCCCGTCTCTCCGCAGGCAGCGATGCCCGTGGAGCCCCTGGTCTGCGCCGACACGGCCACGCGGTGAGTCCTGCCCCCCCCTGCCCCAGAGGGGACAGCAGCGGGGTGCTGCGGCCACCACCCCCAGGAGGGTCCCTCCTGGGTGCCACACGCTGTCCCCTGGCCCTGTGGGGAGACTCGTGTCCCCCCTGGCTGACGCTGTGTCCCCCCCATCACGTCCCCCCTCCCCGGGGTGTCCCCTGCAGGGTGAGCTCGGTGCTCAACCGGGACGTGAAGCAGTTTGGGAAGAAGCACATGTTTGATGCCAGCGAGGAGACGTGCTGGAACTCGGACCAGGTCAGGGGGATGGGGACAGGGGGGCAGCTGGAGGGGTGGTGGGACAGGAGCCGGGCACGGGGAGAGGAGGGGGGGGACAGGAGCTGGGGACAACGGTGAACACCCCGGTGAGGGAGCCCCGCTGTCCTTCCTGCCCCCAGGGCACGTGCCAGTGGGTCACCCTGGATTTCCCCCGCACCGTCAAGGTCTCACAACTCCACATCCAGTTCCAGGGGGGATTCTCCAGCCGGCTGTGCACGCTGGAAGGTGAGGAGCTGGTTTTGGGGGGAGCATGGGGGTCCCTCTGCCTCAGTTTACCCCCACCTGACTCCTACAGCCGCTCCTTTTGGGGCCCAGAGGTATTTATTGGCCATTCCCAAAAACCCAAGAGGGGCTGAGGCCGCGGGGAGGGGTGAATAGTGAGGAGCTGGGGTTCTCCAAGACAATTCGGGTGCAGATGGGATGGACCACAGCTCCCAGCCCCGCAGCAGAACCATGGCAGGGAGGATTTGGGGGGGCAGCCGAGGCCATGGGAGCTGTTGGGGGCTCCCCCAGCACCCAAGCCCCCCCAGGCTGCCCCCAGCTTTCACCCTCCACAGGCTGCAGAGCAGGGGAAGAACCCGTGAGGGTATCAGAGCTGTACCCCGAGGACACCAATGCCATGCAGATATCCTTTGCTGGGTCGGATGGGTGGGTTCAGAGCCAGGTATCACCAGCTGTGGTGCATGGGGGTGTGAGCCCCACACGTGTGTGTCCCCCCCACCCCAGAGCAGGTCCCCCACGTGTCGTGGTGTCCCCCCTGCCTGTTTTTGCTGTTGGGGGCTCCCCCAGCACCCAAGCCCCCCCAGGCTGCCCCCAGCTTTCACCCTCCACAGGCTGCAGAGCAGGGGAAGAACCCGTGAGGGTATCAGAGCTGTACCCCGAGGACACCAATGCCATGCAGATATCCTTTGCTGGGTCGGATGGGTGGGTTCAGAGCCAGATATCACCAGCTGTGGTGCATGGGGGTGTGAGCCCCACACATGCTTGTCCCCCCCACCCCAGAGCAGGTCTCCTACGTGTCGTGGTGTCCCCCCTGCCTGTTTTTTTTGTTCCTTTACGAGCCCCGCACAGGTTCCAGGTGGAGGAGACGGTGCTGGATAAGCTGAAGATCACCTTTGAGAACAGCACGGACTTCTTTGGCAGGATCGTGGTCTATCACCTGGGGGTGCTGTGGCAGCAGTGAGGGACAGTGTGGGGGGCTGCTGCCCCACCGCCTGTGTTTTTTTTGTTCCTTTACGAGCCCCGCACAGGTTCCAGGTGGAGGAGACGGTGCTGGATAAGCTGAAGATCACCTTTGAGAACAGCACGGACTTCTTTGGCAGGATCGTGGTCTATCACCTGGGGGTGCTGGGGGAGAAGCTCTAGGGTGGCAGCAGTGAGGGACAGTGTGGGGGGCTGCTGCCCCACCGCCTGTGCTTGCCCACGGGGGCTCTGCTCCAAGGCCGTGCTGCCCCTAATTGCACCCCAAGGTGCTGAGAGGGGACCCCTGCCCCATGGGATGGCAGTGACAGAGGGACAAAAGGCTCTGAAGTCCATCAGATGGGACTTTGGTGGGACACAGCCTGTGTCATCGACCAAATAAAGTGTCCTTGCTCCTTCCAGGCTGCTCCTTGGGCAAGTGGCACCTCGGGACTGAGCCCTCCGTGGCCGTGCCAGCGCGTGGCTTGAGCAGGAGGGAGGAGACGTGCCACCTCCATGTGCTGTGGGCTCTGTCTCCCTCCCTGCTACTGACCCCTGAGCTTCTCAGAGCAGCTTTTGGTGGCCTCATGAGGTTCCAGCTCGGGTTGGCAGCGTGTTGGCTGGTGGCCATGGCCACACGGTGGCCCTGGCTGGCAGGGGTGCTGCTTCCTGCAGGGATATGGCAATTTCCCCAGCTGGTTATAGCTTTGTATGAAGTTTCTGGGCGTAAAAAAAAAGGAGTTTCCCTCTTCAAAGAGACAGGCTCTGGAGAGGAACACTGAGGGGGGTGCAAGACTTGAGGAGGTTGGTTGGCCCAGTTCCCCCCTGCGGTGCTGGGATGGGGGGAGTGGGAGCTGTGAGAGGCTGAAGTGAGGGACAGGGCTCCACAGAGCTGCTTTAGAATTTACTTCCAGCAATGTAGATACCTGAATGCACAGGGGTGTGAAGCAGCCCAGCCCGGACGGGGCAGAAATGGAGCTGCCCCAAGGAAGGAGCGTCCCCGGGGTGCGGGGCTGTGTCACCCTCCAGTAAAGGCACGGACCCACCGAGGGCAGGCAGTTCCCATCCTCCTCCTCCTGCTCCTCATTTGAAGGGTCACCTCGTTGCCCATTTTGGGGCGGCGTTTGGTCCCGGAGGAGAGCCCTGTGGTGGCCGGAGAAGCGCTTGGTGCTGCAGGAGCCGCTCCGTCATTCCGCCTCCTTTCTCTGGAATAGCTTCAGGATGTGATTTTCGATCACCTGTTGGACTAACGGAGGGGAGAGAAGTGAAACCCAGGGAAGCCAAGCCTGGAGAAGCCAGTACTGCTCCAGGCAGGACCCAGTCACCATTTTCCTCCAGTTTTCCAGCAGGAGGCTGGAAAACCCCTTTCTCCAGGTGCCTATCCCCATCCTCCTTGTCCCCATCCTCCTTGTCCCCATCTCCCCTGGCCCCATCTCCCCTGTCCCAGGCCTGTCTCCAGCACAGCTCTGGTTCGGAGGGGGAAGCAAGGGCAACAAGACCCATCTTGATTTCTCTGGCTCGATTTTCTCTGCGTGGCAGAGCGCGGACTCCTTGTCCCCATCTCCCCTGGCCCCATCTCCCCTGTCCCAGGCCTGTCTCCAGCACAGCTCTGGTTCAGAGGGACAGCAAGGGCAACAAGACCCATCTTGATTTCTCTGGCTCGGTTCTCTCTGTGTGGCAGAGCGCGGAGCTGTGATGGAAGGTCATAAAAAGGCCCCGAGCAAAGCTGGAAGCTGGGAATTGCCTGGAGTTTTTCCAGGGAGGGAAGGTAGGGCTCCCTGCCAGGCATGGAGGGGACACTTGCCTTTCTTGTGTCCCAGGGCCACGGCCAGATCCATCGGGGTGTAGCCAGAATCCGCCTCCGTCGTCAGGTCGGCGCCGCGAGCTGCAAGCAGGCGGTGGAGATCAGGGCACGGCCTCCGGGTCAGACACAGGGTGGGGGCACCCCCAAAAAGTGACACCCCCAGGCTCACGCTTTCTCCCCAAGCAGCCATTGGAGGCCAAGGAGTAAGTGCAAGGGTTTCCCCGTTACCTAGTAGGGCCTCCACACACTTGACGTGATTGCCGCGCACGGCGTAGAGCAGAGGAGTGCCGCCGTTCTGCAGGGAGAGGGAAGGGGCTCTGTCACTGCCAGTCCCTCGTGGAACCATCCACGAGAGAGCAGGAGGTCCCCAACCCACCAGGATCCCCTTCCACCCCCTTCCAGCTCCGGGCTGGGTGGGTTTTTTTCCTCACAGAGCAGCTCTACGCAGCTTTTATTCTCTGTGTCCAATACGATAACTCTTAAATTGTTTAAATTGAATCAATTTAAAGACAGCCTTAAGTTCTGAGTGCTGTTTCCTTCCGGCTGGTAGCACCACCAGCGCTTTCTCCCCAAGCAGCCATTGGAGGCCAAGGAGTAAGTGCAAGGGTTTCCCCGTTACCTAGTAGGGCCTCCACACACTTGACGTGATTGCCGCGCACGGCGTAGAGCAGAGGAGTGCCGCCGTTCTGCAGGGAGAGGGAAGGGGCTCTGTCACTGCCAGTCCCTCGTGGAACCATCCACGAGAGAGCAGGAGGTCCCCAACCCACCAGGATCCCCTTCCACCCCCTCCCAGCTCCGGGCTGGGTGGGTTTTTTTCCTCACAGAGCAGCTCTACGCAGCTTTTATTCTCTGTGTCCAATACGATAACTCTTAAATTGAGTCATTTTAAAGACAGCTTTAAGTTCTGAGCGCTGTTTCCTTCCGGCTGGTAGCACCACCAGACTTGACGTGATTGCCGCGCACGGCGTAGAGCAGAGGAGTGCCGCCGTTCTGCAGGGAGAGGGAAGGGGCTCTGTCACTGCCAGTCCCTCGTGGAACCATCCACGAGAGAGCAGGAGGTCCCCAACCCACCAGGATCCCCTTCCACCCCCTCCCAGCTCCGGGCTGGGTGGGTTTTTTTCCTCACAGAGCAGCTCTACGCAGCTTTTATTCTCTGTGTCCAATACGATAACTCTTAAATTGAGTCATTTTAAAGACAGCTTTAAGTTCTGAGCGCTGTTTCCTTCCGGCTGGTAGCACCACCAGGGTGAGAACAAGTGAGGAAACCATTTAAAATTATTATCCAGCTTAATTTCTTGAAACGGCCTGCATGAGCAGGCAAACGAGCGCCGCGAGCCCGGGAAGCACCGAGGAGAAGGGCCCTGAGCAGTGTGAGTTGCTGCTGCTTTTTAAAAATGAGCTTTGCAGAGCCCCACGGAGGGTGGTGGTGGTGGGGGAATGGTGTCCCTGGCACTCACCCAGTCGTAGATGTTGATGTCCACGTTCCTCTCCAGCAGCATGACGACGATGTCGGTGTAGCCGCCCATGCTGGCCAGGGACAGGGCACTCTCTCGCTCCTTCGCCAGCGCGTGGGGGTCAGCGCCCTGGGGAGGGCACAGGAGTTACCCCCCAACGGGCTGGGGAGCCCCCACTGAGACCTGGGGCACTCGGCACAGCTCTGCTGGGCACCCCAGGGGGGCTGATGGTGGAGCCGAGTCCTCTTGGAGGACTTGGAGACGGCTCACACATCCCCAGTGACCTCTCCTTAACCAAAGCCCTTACTGGGCATATTTTAATCATCTTTAAACACGTCAGGTGAGGACTTAAAAACCCTTCTCCAGTGACAGTAAACGAAGCCTGATGGTTCCTGTTACTCAGCCCTTTTTCCCATCACTAATAACAGCGTTACCAGCCCCGTCCAGACACCTGTATGGTACCCACCACCTCTTTTGTTGCTCATTTATCTACAAAACCTCCCTGTCCTCCAACCCTGCCCACCACGGACCTGTCCCAGCCTTCGTTACAGCCTTTATCAACATATCACCTGGTTTATTTGGGGTTCTGTCTGTCTCTCTGGTAATGCATTGCAGTTTTGCTGCTAATCCAGCACCAGAGCCCGTGTTTACGTGGCTGATCGTCGGCCACACGTGGATGTGGGACTGAGCTTCGGGGAGCAGCTGGATCCATGGAGCAGGAGGATCTCATCCCTGCTCACCCCCAGACAGTCCTCGACTGCAAACCCAGCACTCAAGGACGATGCAGCAATGAGTTCATTAACTGCAACGACACCTCGGCGAGCACATTTGCCGGCGGATTACAGGGCCCAAGTGATAAGCCTGATCTCAAATTACCAATAAGCAGATATTTAATTACAAACAGTTATTGCTAGCTGTGAGATAAGGCTCTCCACGCTTCTGACTTAGCTCACAGCCCAATGGGGAGTAGGATCCGACGGCGTCTGAGCCGTCAGCTCTGCAAATGTGTCCTCTTTGGTGCCATGGGGAAGGTTGGCTGAGATGGTACCAGGACGGTGCTGGACAATTTGGCAGCCAGAGGGGTTGGAGATGGGAAATCTCCCCTTAACGAGGTGCTGTGTGAGTGTGGCCTTACCCATTCCAGCAGGTGACGGACCGTTTCGATCTCTCCGAAGGCTGCAGCCCAGATCAGCGGCGTGAAACCTCTCTCATCAGGTTTATTTACCAAGTTCTCCCCTGCACAAACATGGGTAAGGCATTGTAATCACGAAGGGTAAAGCCCCCTCTGCTCCCAGTCCCCCCAGTAAACCCAACAAAGCCGAGGGTTTGTGAAAAGGCGTGCTGTGACCTGGCAGGGCCCTGCATGAGCTGGGGTAAGAACCCAAAGGGAGAGAGAGGTACCTTTCCGGAGGTGCTCTTTCAGCTGGCTGAGCTCTCCCTGGGCAGCGAGCTGGTGGATGGACAATGCTGGGGGACAGAAAGAATTCACCTGTCAGGACAAACTTTCCCCAGCTCTGTAGGTGGGTCCCTGCAAGTCTGGGGTGGTGGTGACTCGACAGCCCCTGTCCGAACCCCAAAAACCCCAAGGGGGGTGTGCCCTCCTGCTGTATCTCAGCCACGGCGAGTGCTGAGAGCAACAGCAGTGCAGGGAGCAGCATGAGACCATCCCAGAGGACACAGAACAGCTTGGCAGCAGGAGATGGAGGGAGATTCCAGCCCCACTGTCCTTCTGCTCCTTCTACACCCCATATTCATCCACAGTCTGGGGTGCACAGCCTGCTCTGCCCGGCAATACTCACTGTCCAGCGTGGCTGGCAGGGCCGAGACCTCATTGCCTCGTTGCCTGTTCGTCAGCGTGTTCGAGTGCTTCAGGGGGAAACCTGTTCCAGAGAGAGAAAGGAGAGAGTCAGGACACATCTCCGTGCACAGGGAGGAACGACACTGACTTGAGGCCAAGAGCTTCATGAAAGCTCAGGTCTTCTGCTCTCTGAAGTGGTTCCCTACTGTCCCCGGCAAAAAAAGGAGTTATTCCCTTGCAAGTAATGAGCCTGGAGACTGAGGTCTGACCAGTGCACAGGGACCAGCAGCTGAGGAAGGAAGATAAAACAGCCCAAACAGCTGCCCAAGGAGGGGCAGGGTCCATCTGGGGCACCACGGGAGGCAGGGATCTGGCTTTAATGGCATAATCGCACACGATGCGCCGCAGAGGACAGCCCGGGGGATGCACTCAAGTTCATCCTCGTATTTCCTACCCTTGAAGAGCTCTGCTTGGAAATCTCAAGAGTGTTTTCAACAAGCCATTTCGTAGTTTAATTAGGGAAGTATAGGGAAAGAGTTTGCCATCTGTGGTTCCACTGCGTGGAGCTGCAGCGACCTCTCACTGCTGTCACGAGTCATCAGCAAGGTCTGGATTTGGACTTGGCCTTGCCACGTTATGGGAGGGACGGGCAGCAGCAGCAGCAGCAGACTTTTTTTCTTGCTGTCTTTGTGGGCTGGGGGGATCCAGACGACCCCTCCCACGCCTGTCTCCCACTGGGAGCATCTGCAACACTCACTGTCAAGGGCCGAGAGCTCGGTGCTCCTCTGCTAGCAATCCAGACGACCTCTCCTACGCTTGTCTCCCACTGGGAGCATCTGCAACACTCACTGTCAAGGGCCGAGAGCTCGGTGCTCCTCTGCTTGTCCATCGAGGCAGCCGAGGACTTCGGGAGAGAGTCTGTTGCACCTGCAAAACCAGGGTGGCCCTTAGGGACCTTGGTGCCACTCGTTGGGGAGGAGGGTGGGCTCTACACGTGGCAGAAAGGGACCCAACCACCACAGTGAGCACCCCACAGGGACTCTGACCCCATGGAGGAGGACATGATCCTGGTTTACAGGGGGACAAGACACTGCAGGATGCCATGCCCGCCTGTGCCCCATCTCAGCTCCCACCACCCCGTCACCCTCAGCACTCACCATCCCCGTGGTCCACGTGTGGCATGTCCTGGTCCAGACGCAGATGCCCCGGGGTGGCACCGCTGTCCCCTGTGTCCCCGGTCTCAGCTGCTGCTCCCTCGGCTCTGTTTTCACCCTCTTTCGGGAACTGCTGGGCATCCCCGTCTTTTGGGGGGGTCTCCACAAGATGAGCGACGGCTTCTTCACCTTCCATGGGGCAGCTGCCACACAACAAGGCGTTAGGAAGGGGGAAAAAGTGGGGACGTGTCCCAGGATGGAGAAGGAAGCGGTGGAGGGGGGGGGAAGGGGGTGGCTGCCGAGTTCCCCAGCACCAAGGGCTTGCGGCCACCAAACTCCTTTGTGCCGGCAGCACAGTCTGGGGTCCCGCTTGCCCTCGCCGGCCAGACTCCCCGCACCCCCCGGGGACAAAAGCCCCCGTGACGGGACCACTGGGAGGCTGCACCGGGGCTGTCTCCGTGTGGCTCCTCCGAGCATGGCCGCCTTCCCACTCACAGCGGGGCCGAGCCAGGGCGGGTGGGACGGAACCCCCCCTTTCCTTCTCCCCAGCCACCCCACTGCCGTCCCCAGCCATCCCTGTCCCCCTCGCCGTCCCCGGGTTGGCCGGTGGGGCCCGTCCCGGCTCAGGCCAAGCCGCCGTTTCCCGGTGAGGAGTCTGGGCTCACCCCCGGCATCCTCCGACGCAGGCCCCCCCTGTGCCAGCACTTCCCCTTCCTCCGGCCTGGCGGGGCCCAGCCGGGCTGGGGGGCACCCTGGGGGCCCCCGCTCCAGCTCCACCTGCCCGCTGACGGCGTGGAGGCCGGGCGAGGCGGAAAGCCTGCCGTTAAAGCGACAGTCCCTCTCCCGGGATGGCGACGGGGGGACGCGGGTGGCCATGGCGGCGGCCGTGGGGCAGTGGGTCCCCACTGACTTTGGGGGGGACAACACCGCATCGCCCCCCACCATTTGACCCTCATCCCATGTGGGGCCCCACATCCCGCTCCCTCCTGGGGAGGGCAGCTCCGGGCCACGGGGGTGGGAGCGCTGAGGCCCATGGCGCCATGGTGGGGGCTGTGAGGGGACAAGCGTCCCGGTGGATGGGGGGGGCCACAGGGAAGGGGGACGACCCTCAGACCTCACAGCCTGGAAGGACACCCTCTGACACCCCCACCCCCCCGTTAACTGCACCGGGGGACCCGGGGAAGGGGGTGTCCCAGCGCTGGGCGACCACGGCCTTTGCCCACCCGAGGCCTTGGCCCACCCGAGGCCTCCACGCACCGACCGCGGGGGGGGCATCCCTGAGGAAAGGGGTGACGGTGGGGTTCTAACGCCAACCCCCCCACCGCAAAGGGTTGGGCTGGCTCGGGGAAGCGAAGTCGCGGTGGCCCGACCCAGGGAAGGTCGCCACGGGGCATCTTCGAGGCGGTTTGGGCCCGGACCCGAGGTGGGGGGGGGACAGCCCGGGTTGGGGGGAGAAGGCATTT